CCGTGCTGTAAAGCTCATTCCAACGAACACGCCTAGCAGTGAAACACAATCAGCCTTTGATGCAGCCATCGTGCAGCTTCAAGACACAGTGCAACGCACTACCATAGCTAACGCGAAAGCTTCTTTGCCATAGAGATAAACCGTCGCGCCGCCCTCCAGCTCCGCAGACCCGCCGTTGATCCTTCGTCCGACCCACCGCGACCTTGTCGTTCTCGAGCACATCGCAACCGATACCTATACCAAGCGATAGTTGCATGTCGCTTCAGCTCATTGAAAGGGAATACAAGGAGTTAGGAGGCATCTATAGGATAGGGTGGGCCGGTCTCACACAGCGGGCATGGCAGCGGACAGACTGGCATGGCACAGAGTACCAAGGTCCGAGTCTACGCTTCGGTAAGCGGAGTACGTGTCACTAGAAAAACGCTCTCGTTGCACGCACGTGCAAAGGTGGAAAGGCTTTGCATATCTTGGGGATACAGCTGTGGTACGGTCATACAGCGGATGGCTCCTTGCATGAGCACTGCAATCATTAGGGTGGTGGAGAGGTGCTTCAGTTTGATTTCTGGGGGTGATGAGGAGTTTGGATCGTCGATGCTCAGAGCGTTTGGTAGTGTAGTGCAGAGGTCTGGTAGTACCCACGCACAGTAAGGTACAACGCTATCTAGGCTGCATGTCGTCCTGTTATCGACAATGACCTTTAACTTATGTCTCTTCGCAATGCCATCCAGTGCGGACGCTCATGGCAACCTTATGGCCGGTGCGGGTCGGCCACCTCCTGCTAGCGGTGGCGATATAAGTACTAAGTCACGTAGAGTACATCTAAGGACGGTTTATAAGCGTGTCTCAATAGCCCAACTAACGTGCATCCACGCGTAACAGAACAACCGCCGTGACGGAACAAATCGTATGTACTTTGACTTTAAAGCGATAGAACATCTCCCCACGTCCTGAATTCGACTATACTCAACTTAAGGTGGATTTTAAGACTATTTCTTCAGTGCTTTAACGCTGCTTACTAGAAAATTACGCATGCGTTAAAACGCGACTGCATGATTCGCAAAGAGCCTCTTGTTATGTGAAAACTAGACTTCTGCGCTAGAAGGTCACAACCACGCTTGCATCACTCTCGCAACCCCTTAAGCGACTCTATCGCTTTCAGAAAGCCCTACGACACTACTAAGAAGTGATAGTTAGCCGTAAGGCTGTGAGGGGCGATTGATTTTTGTAGGGCCGCCACTCTAATCGGTACCTTAAATTGGAGCGATGACCAATTCGAGCTAGCACAGGATTGTGACAAAATCGTAATGTAATCTAACGGAGCGGGTTGTGGCTATCAGGCCTATGGCTATGCATAGTCTAGCAAGCGGGCCGACCAAAGCTCCGCAGCATTGCGATTCAAACTTGGTTATCTCTCTGGCGGTCCATCAACCAGTTCACCTCTTGTAGAATGAGGTCGGACGCTGACACCCCTGGTTTGGAGTATACAGACCCATACCCGTGCGCCCGCAAACCTAGTGGTGCAAATTGTAGATGTCTCCCCTTTGGTCCTACAAGTTCGGCAAGCTATGCAACTCGTCTAGTTTTGAGAATAGCCATAGCCAGACTGAGTCGGTGCAATTGTAGAATGGCGAACTTCTTGATGACTCTAGCGCACTAAATGAGAATTGTGCCGCTGAAGATGTTACATTCGACAGCACCCTTAGAATCTCTTAGTGTCCAGTCCTTACTAATATTCTGCTCCAGCTCTGTCGAGTTGCCTTCTAAGGCAGCATTCTCCTCTATTAGCCGTTATCCGTGCGCCGAGAGTCCCTAATCTGATGTAGTTGTTCCGTGTTGTCCCTTCCGCCGTGTCGAGCAACGATTCACATTCGTGTACACTGATCGGAGCGGTCAATACCGCTTGGGATGTGGTAGCCATGGGAGTGGACTGCGAGAGCGTTTCTGGGACAAGGCGGGCAAGGCGAGGCTGATCAGCGAGCTTTCCGCGGATGACGGCGGAGTTGAACATCAGGAGAGGGGTGTGCGGGCACCAGATGCTGCTAGAGCCGCAGTCAGGCGTTACGCTGGACGTATGGAGCGAAGATGGGCAGCGGAGGGATGCCTAAGAACTTGATTGTTTGTTGTTTAAAGTGTTGTGTTAGCGTGTACAGATTATTGCTGGCCGCGGTGTATCTGTCATAGCGATTACGCGCAAGACGACGCAAAAGAGGGCCGTAGAATGAATAACAATGATCCATGATGCTCAATGGTCATTGGGTTTAGAAAGGATTCGAGCGTGGAGTGGGAAGGCCTCGAGAATAAGGAATAAGCGGAAGATGGTTCAAGATCTCACCTCAGTGGCAGTGCCAAGCCGGGATTTCTGCGGCGTATCCGGGAAATCTCGCTGCTCAACCTCGCTACGCGACCTAACCCATGTCATGACATACAGCTATGTCAACGCTGCAGACTTCTTTGAAATAATATCAGCTCATTACACCGCCTTCAGTTTTTGTAGACGCGCCCTGATGCCTCCGCCAACCGACGAGATTCTTGGAGTCGACTCAGTCGAACTTCCGTCGATGGGTGGAGAAGACCAAATCATTCGGGTTGATGAACTTGCGCTTAATGACCAGAAGCTGGAGGAGAAGGCAAAAAGTTTGGTGAGATCCGTTGAGGCACCACATAACACAGACTTTTTAATCGTGTTAGTTAGGAGAAGACCTTATCATAGACGCCCGAGAAACTATTGGGAAGCCTTTTCAAAGAGTAGATCGGTCTGTTCGCGCTATACTTGTCAGGATACACAGTGACATTGGACTTGTTAGAATTTATGGTCGGAGTGTCAGGTTTGTGGCCACCGGCCCTGATCAAGGAGTAGGATTTGCTATGGCAGTAATACGACCCGAAGAAGACTCTATAGTGCATGGTCATCCTTCAATGCGGTTTTTCTACCAGCGCCGCTAAGGATCAATAACTGAGGATCAAGAAGGCTGGGATAAGTTATTTAATAGGTCGAACCCGTGTCATGCACTTTTCGGGAGGTCGTCATCTCACCATCCACCACCCCACCCATCTATCGGAGCTCCGCTCCGAAACTACGAATATGTTGGAGGAGATTGGATGGAGCAAAACTCCGTGGATCCTTTCTACGATCTACGGTCCTCATAAGGAGTTACTCTTTTGGGAGTGATGTAAGAGAGGAGGGAAGGGATTGGTTGGACGAGGGACCAACAGCGGGTCTGCGGAGCTGTAGGGCGGCGCGACGGTTTATCTCTATGGCATGGAAGCGATCGCGTTAGCTGTGGTCGTCTATTGCACTGCGTCTTAAAATGGCTTGAGAACTGTATCAGAGGCTAGTTGCGGTTCTGATGTGGGGTGTGTTCGTTAACACGATCCATACGCCACGGCCTTCTAACCTCGCCCTGCTCCCAATTCTGGCCAGTTTTCGGGTGTCTTAGAGCGCTTAGCAAAAGCATGGTACAGCCACACGGCCACACAGCCACAGGTCTAGCGTCAGCAGCGATAGATTACAGCTAAGCTGCTTTAAGCTAAGTGTGCGGGGTTCTTCTTATCTAGCACTTCTAGTAGGCGGACTTGGAATGAGCACAGAAGCACGACAACCTCTCGAGCTTAAGCGCAGTGCTCGGGATAGGATGCTGATATATCAAGCTGTAATCTGACAGACTTTGGACAAGATGCATGAGCTTTGGACGCACCGACAGCTAGCCAAAGCGAGGCGGTCGCGTGACGCTCATAGCAAATTGTCGTATTACACGGTAAGCCGAACCTATTTCTAAGAGACATCTGGAGAGAATAGAGTTTGTAGCTTAAGGCTACTATATCGAGAATATCTATTCTTATGACCTGTTGTTGAGTTTGTTATGGTGGAGGGTGGCTGTGGCGTCCCGCCACACAGGGTGTCCCGCTACGCAGGGATGGACGTTGAACGCTGATATATTTCACGGTAAGTTAGTACGCCTGATAACAGCACTCGGGACAGCACGGCCAGAGAAGATGTGCGCCCAACACGCTTGAGTGATGACCTGCTAGGAATGTCTCCATAAGACGAGAATAGAGAGGCATAGACTGTTAGACTTATCGTTCCTTCTGAGAAGGCTATTAAAGACCAGAGACGTCCGAATCACGCATGGCAGAATATGAATCCAGCATTATGCGAGGAAGCCCTAACATTATTTGGTCTATGGAATTGAGCCTAGGTGTAACAATGGAAAAGTTGATATTTACAACGCGCGTACGGTGTTATTAATTATTAGTGTTGCCCGCTGCGAACTTTTAATCTTTTTGTATTAGCACAGGTAGGTTGTCGTATGTTGTGTAGGTGACGGATGCGTAAGGCCTTAACCCTCAATACAAGATAGTTCATGGACCAAATCCTCCTATAGTTACATTCTAATTCCTAGTTTTGAAAACATCAGGGCGCCTTGGCTCCATGCACTCAGCTAGGGGGCTTCGTTGCGCTTAATATGCCCCACCCTTCCAAATCTGCCGTTGTGCTATTCAGAGAGTGCCATTCCTTGTTATTCTATGGGAGAACGAATAGCGCAGTCTTCTTATTTGATCGCTTATTGGGACGACGAGTCGACGCCAAATCCGATTAATATAGAAAGGAAGGTGACACAGCAACTGTGTAGCAGTGCAGGCCTAGTACGCATTAGATCCTGTAACAAAGACAGACGGAAACTCACCATGAATATGCCTTGTCGTAGTTGGGCGGAAGTGCTTCTGCCAGCAAGCGAAAGACTAGAGACAATGATCGCGCCACACAATTGGATAGACGCTGCAGTTGCGTTGGCAAAGACGAAAGTATGCAACAACCGCACATATTCTTCGTCTCTCCGCTCAAATCCCGAGTTTTCGTGGGCCTTTACTTGCTCGCGTGAAAGTACCGCACATAGAAGCGATGCAGCAGCGAGACGAGCAAGCAGTGCTGACTCGTAAGCAGGAGATATTGTTTTGCCTCTATTTGCGATTAGATAGCTTCGAGTACAGATGCAATCCACCTACACAACCGCAGAAACAATGTCCATTATAGTTAAGGTCGCCACTAGATGTACTGCCCATATAGTCCGGCCAGGAGAGATAAAGATCTGCAGCAATCGGGCGAGCTAAAATTCATGTTAGTAGAAGATGAGCAATCAAGGGAGGCAGACTGACATTGTTGCTCGTGAGAAGTTGGAGGTTACACATAATGACTGCGTCAAGCCAATAGTACATCTTCTCTGTTGAATGGGGTGCAGTCGCGATAGCGATGATGCCAGTGATCCCTAGGCCTGTTGAACCGATGCCGAAAACGATTCCTGCAATCCTCTCCCAACGGTAATCGTACTCGGGAACATAATTTCTCATATCGAGGTAAGTGAGCGTGCTGCTCAGTATGGGTCCGACTGAGAAGCAGATCGCAAGGCTGACTAGTACAAAGAGTGTCATGTTGACGAGAATTGGTGCAGTACTGAATATGGGGGGCTCTTGTCTTTTGTACGTGCTCCATGTGTCTAAAAAAGGACTTGTGGAGAGTTACATCGCCGTGTACACATTCCTAGTAGTGGAGCCTGGGCAGAGCGAGTGACACGATGAGAGAGTGATCCTGAACAGCTGCATGCGTAGCTGTTGGGAGATCCACATAGTTTTGCGGTATTCAGCTTTCCTGGCCACTGGTATAGGGCTTGCGAGCAGTCGTAATGGCTGCAGATGTCCACATTATAAGGGGTGAGAACTAGATTGAGACCGGATGCACATCCACATAACCCTCATCATGGTCTCTAGTGGACACTGGTACTTGCCATCAAAGTCCGGACCATCGCCTACAGCAACCTGACTGGGTTTTGCTCTTCGCATGAGTATGTCAGAGTCGCAGACGTGGAAAGCGAAAGCCTGCAGCGATGGGGAGCTTGGTGAGCTATACTGGAAAGATCTAAGTCTAGGTTGGAGAAGCTTCAGAGATCTTCATACACGAATGCGCTTGAGGTCTCTACTAACATACAGCATACGATGACCTAGTGCGGATCTTGTTGCTTACAAGATGCCAAACGACTGTCAACTGTTGAGTTACTCCCCTGTTGAATAACGCACTCGTATGCGAGCCAAGGAAATTCTCTCTGTACTTCTTTGTTCGTGTATGCTTCTCTCGAACATCTCTGTTCACCACAGTTACCTTAAGCATTCATGTGGACCATCCTTGATGTTGGCTAGGCAGCTTTGGTACTACTGAACTCTGGATTCGGCAAGACAGAAATAGAGTAAAAGAGCTTGTTAAGCCGAGTTGGAAGGATTACATCTAATTACCTTAAGCATAATTGACTTTTAGACGATGGTAGAGGTTTGCACGAGGTTGGGTTAGAATACTTTGACCGTTGGTGTTATAACATACGGAGGGCTAGAATAACGTACACCGCGGACGCCACGGCTGATCAACACATGGAGTAATGTGTTGGGCGAGGTTGTCGAGCGTGAGGGGCAGTGGCGGGCTTCGAAGCGGTGTGCTGCAGGCGCGACGTTTGGTAGGCAGCAGGGCGTCGTGAGCGCTCACGTCCGAGACGGTTGCAGTGCTGGCGGAACGAGCTCGCTTGGGCATCTTGGTTGTGTGCACTCGTGCTGGCGATATGGTGAAGGTGCTGCGACTGGAGGCTGCGCATCGACAATACCTGCCAGTTCGTCTCAAGGTGCAAGGACTAGAACCTTGTTCGATTCACTGCGTTTGTCAGCCACGCATACTCCTACTTCTTCCGGTTGTCTGCCTTTACATAATTTTGTCCACCGGCTGTAATAATGTTTTCTAGACGAGTTGATCGGCGTAAGGGACAACACAGTGTCTGTACGTGACGAGTCAGCTGTGTGTCACGCCGACCGCTCCGGGCAAACCAAACAAACCAAACCAATCAAATTAAATCGAATTGGCGGGTACTGTATCCGCGGATTTGCACCGTAATCCACACTTTTTCACGCCACGTTCCTAACTTGGTAATATGATTGTTTCGCTGATCCCGCATAATTTCCGAGGGGTGGAGATGAGGGAGGGAGAGGGACGTCTTCGAAGCAAATGTAGGAGATCTGCACAAGTGATGCTTTAAAACTCTTGCTTCACAAGATCTAGAATGCCTAGAGCCGAGACACATGTATATTGGCAGACAAATCTCTGCGCGCAGAAACTAGTAGGAGACGGAAGTTAGATAAATGTGTTGTATCCGGGCACTGTAGGTATAGAACAGAAGTGTTGCGAATGGTGGCAACAGAGAATGCGGTGATTCTCCTTCTACCGGGCTTCTCACATCTTGTCTAGGATGACTGGTTGATGTCTCGACGGACGGTTGTCTTTGCGTAGCCGCAGAACGTGGATATGCAGACTTAGGAAGAAAAGATTCGTGCCGCTGGCGTTGCGGTCATAGGCGATCCTAAGATTTTAGAAGCGCTAGCGCAACTCTCGCCAGCTCTTACTGTCACCAGATCGCTGTAAATGTCCTTTCCCGCGCACCCTCTCTACAGAAAACCCGTTTTGCACACAAACGGTGAGGACCGGGGGTTGTTCTGGGCGGAGGCCCGAAAATGGTCCCTCATGAGCGCGAGAGAGCGAGTGATTTGACTTGCAAAAGCGTTCGGGCGTTAACTTGATAGAGGTGAATTGCCGGTACTGCTTTAGTGTGGGGGTCAGAAGTTCGTACTCTAACGTATTAATTATTGGCATTGTGAAGCCTGTGAATGTCTTCGCTAGACTTCTTGTGCTAGGCACATCTTGTTTCCTTGAGCTCATTTTGAGCCACCTGGAGGATCTGCTTCATATCAAGGTACAGCTGTGGGTTGGGAGACCTCCATCTCTCACCATTAGGAAATACTTTCCTCCGAAGCCTATTAACATATGGGAGTAATGGCTGGTAAAATGGGGTAAAGTTCGTCTGGGCTGTTTTGAGAAAGTCTCGTTCATCATCCACAACGCCTTTTTTTGCGCCAGCCAACTCTTCTGAATCGAGGTAGTTCCATTTATCGAACCGTGGAACGATCCTCACTTCCTGCGGACCGTCATAATGAATGCATATCCAGAATAGCACCCAGAAAAATGATTCAAGATCGTGCATGTAGGAGTGTTGTTCGTCGTCTAAAAGAACCCCGATTGCCATGAATGCTCTGGTACCAGTCTTACCCCGAGCGCCTGAAGACTTTTCGCGCTGTTCTTTGATGGCAAGATCGAGATCGATCAAAAACGCGGGCCAGGAAGGGTTATCGTTATCTTCGTTCACCATGAGATTGTTTAGCGATATGTCGCGTTGAAGCATGCCTGCTCGTGTATGCAACGACCCATACCCTTCGATACATTGTTCGAATGCAGCCAGCAGACTGATCTGGGAGCTTGCTTTGTAGATAGCCTTCCCGTAGTCGCTGACGATGACACGGCGGTGGACCCGATTGGCAACAGCACGTTTCGTTGGGGAGCTTGAACAAGTGCGCTTGCTAGGCGGCAAAGGTGCGTCCGTACAACTCGAGGATCGTTTTCGCCCGATGAGGTTGTTGCTTCCATCCCTTCGCGAGGTCCGGCGTCCGGTCGTGCTCGGTGGCAGCATCGCTTTCTCTGGCTTGTAGTTCGTCGCCTTCGTTACGTCCAGGCCTTTCCGTACGTTTGCGCGGATGTCGTCGTCTTGACCACCTACACGAACCGTCTCGTGGTGGAAGTACCTTGCAACGTTCATCACCCCCTTCTCAGTCGCCGCGCGTAGCAGTTCGCCTTCCTCTTCCCGCTCCGGATACTGCCATGAATCCTTGACAACGAGCGGCGTGCCAGGATATTCTTCTTGATAAACTTTCCAGCAGGTTGTTGCCCGACCAGCGACGCAAGGCACCCTCTTTATGACCCTGTCAACGACGAGGCGCTCTTTCCCGTTCTCCCGCTCAATCTCAATGTACCGCTTGTCTCCAACTGTAACGATCGTCGGGTCAAACCCTAGCTGCTCATCATCCATCCAGAGGAACCCAAGCATTGCAGACACAAACTGCAGTCCATCCTCATTGACGTCGAATTGCTCAGAGGCGATGCCCCCGAGTCGGTCGAACTCCCACAGCCGCATAAATGGACCACAGAGAGTGAAGCCAAGAACGAAGCGGCGGCTGTCTTGTGCGGCGAGCACCTCCCTCGCGTACCGGCCTAGGTCAAGCCACGCCTTGGACGCTTTGTCGGCTGATGGATTGCTCTTAAGCTCTCCAGGTATGAGGATTTGTGACCAGCGGCACTTCGAGTCCACGCCGGCGTTCGGATCGTCCACAAAGCCAATATCCAGCTTGCGGTCGGCGGCGGAGCCTTGCAAGGGTCGATTGGGCTGTGCCAATGGTCGCCGTCGACAACGGGATCCCGGCATATGCTCCTCCGCAAAGTCCAGAAGCTGGTCTATAAGCGATGCGAACCAGCTCAAGACATCCCTTTCTTTCGCCCCTCCAGGCCAGCGCTGCCACCCGCTCTCCAACCGGTAGAGCGGGCTATCCCCTTCCTTGCACTTGTCCAACACAGCCTGCGCCGCTGGTCTCAGTCCTGGCACGTCTTCGAAGAATGCCTCGAAGAAACGGGGTATGCCAACGTACAAGTGTCCCAGCTCCTCTTTTAGCACATCGTCTACATGTTTGCGGTGCTCGGTCGAGTTTGCGAAGCTACCTGTGTTGATGGACAGGGGCGTTTGTTGGAAGGACGAGGAGAGGCGAGGTGGAGGCGTCGATTCGGTCACAGCGGTTTCGACTTGTCGCCAAATGATATCGTCGGATTCATTCTTGAGGACTGCGTTCCACAAGGGCCTTATTCTTTCTAAGTCGAAGTCGTCGGAGCTGATTGCAGAGTGAAGCTTCGAGAGGTTGCTAAAAAGGTGTTTGCCTGTCTTAGAGGGTAGGAGACGGGCAGCAGGAAGGATCTGAAGGGCTGAAATGAGAGCAAGCGATAAATTTTGAACATCTAAGAGCACGTTAGAGATGCACATTGACATATTCAGGCCAAAGGTACCTTCAATTCCAATCCAATCTAAAGCAGACAAAGAAGCTGGTATCCCTTGCTCCTTACATAGAGAATTGAATGAATTGCAAACACTGCTCAATCCTTCTCCTATGGGCTTAGATCTGAGTACCTCCAATCGAGGCGGAAATGCCATTGTTTGCAGTCGCGCGAGGGATCGTACTTTGGTCGCGCGAATGAGCTTGCATGCGCAGTTTTACATACTACAGAAACGTAAACGAAAAACGTGGCCTTGGCCGGAAATTCATTGCAGGAAGGGTAAGTCAAGAACAAGGAGGATGTAGAACGCGAGGACGCGACCAACGCGCAGCCCAATCAGGCTGGCTCGGCGCAACTTCGGTTCTTCCCTCCGCGGAGATCACCGTCATTTCTTGTGCCCATGATCGTGTACATGGCATTCACGACAGACATCATGTGACACAACTTGGACAGCATCACGAACAGCGAGAACTTCCTACAGACCGTCGTGCGTCCCTCCATGTCGATTTGGCGGCCGTAGGTCGTCGTTCGGCCCATGGTAAGGACGCACATGCAACAATTCGCTAGCCGCAACACGCCACGCGACGACGGAGCAAAGACCCAGCTCAACAGACACAGTAAACGCAATACAGTCATTGATAGGCTAGCTAGTCAGCCCGGCGCCATCCGATGACGTCTACGCAACGTCAGCTAGATTTTGGAGGACGAAAGAGCCCGCGACGGCGAAGGCGCGGTAAATAGACGCCGACTGCAGGCGCTTGCGGCCATGGCCAATTACGTTTGAGCGCTATACAGTTCACAAAGGCTCTACGATTTATATTTGTGTGCGACGCAGGAGGGTCATGCTAGCTGTAATGGCGGTGTTGGTTAGTGTGAGTTCTAGCTGCAGCGGGATGAATTAATTTTGGAACGCGGAGCTTGCGCGCCACGGTACGACGTTCTTGCAGGCCATCCTAAACTTTTATGAGAGGCTTGACAACCTTCATCACCACCACTGCATTGCATTGCTCTACCATCAAATCACCCTGTATTGTACTTTTTGTTTGCAGGTACTGAAACAGTTCACTCAAGCACGCGTTAGCCTCCCTTTAACGCTCAACCCTCTCACGACACAAACCCTCCTCCCACGACACAAACCCTCCTCCATCGAGAATTAAGTCTTCTTATGCCAGCGCTCGTTCCGAACGATACCCACAACCCATATAGTACAATAGAGGCTCTTTATATGTTCCTCTAAATGACTACACGATTGCGGCCGCCGTTTCCTTGTCTCTCGACAGATAATTTTCTTTCCAGAGGTTCTGCTGGGCACGTCTACGCCATTAGCCGGAATGTGGTTTTCAAATGTCCGACCCTTTTTGAAAACCCTGTCCAAGCACAAGCAGAAGAAATGGAGGAGAGCATTCGGAAGCTGGAAAACGAAAAGGCTGTATATCAAATACTGATGAAACATCGACACCCCAACATTGTTTATGGCATACTTTGCATTCCGGAAGGCCTTTTTATGCATCGCCAGGAAACGACCCTAGACTCTCGTATAGAGAAATCCTCGATGACGGCGATCAGTCTAGACAAGCAAGAGCGGTGGATCTAACAGATCACTAGTGCCCTAGCTTGGATTGAAGATCTTGGGTACGTCCATGGGGACCTTCGGCCGGCAAACATATTCCTCAGTGCGATGGAAGATATCCGAGTCGGAGATTTTGATGCGACCGTTAAGAGGGGAGAACAGCTGCTGGTGGCTAGTGAGCCATTCTGCAAGCTGGATGAAAACTATGACACCCCTTTGGCCGGCCCACTCAGTGAACAATTCTCGCTGGCATCCTGTATTTTCACGATCCGATTTGGACACAAACCCTTTCATAATGTCGAGCCCCATGTCCGAGTTCGAAACCTTATTATGGGTATATTCCCCTCGACCGCATCAGACGTCATCTTCGGCGATCTGATGCACAAATGCTGGCACGGGTGGTACAACTCAATTAGAGCTGTGGAACAAGATATGTCATCTCTACTTGGAAATCGTAGTGTTGCAGAGCAATTTTGGGTTAGCGATACGAAGGTTTTGGATGATATCCCAATTAGTATGTTACAATCAGAGTGCTACGAATTTCTGGCAAAAGAATCTAGGTGAGTGTAGGTATCCACATTGATTCCGACACCTGCCTGCTAGGTCCGTTAGATTTATCTTTTGCTCGTCTCTACGTACGTTTCTTCACTCACTCGCTATCCTTCCGGCCTACACCTGAGTAATCTTATAACGTAGCATAACAGCCAAGCCTCGCAAGCTGAGATCAGTGCTTGTTGCCTTTCATGATAAGTTAGTTAGTTAGCTTAAGTATGCTGCTGAGCAGCTTGGCTTAGAGGCATATGTCTGAGCTTCATGGCGCTATGCATATGTATTGTCTTCGATCGTGTGTAGCAGACGTTTTCTACATGATGGCAGCGATAGTATATAACTTGGCGTGCCGCATACATCTGACTCATAGCAAAAGCTAAGCTCCACAATCTGGGCACTTGCCCTTCTTGGACGACATGCCCAGACTATAATTGTCTGTTGGATTGGCGTAATCCGAGCCTCGCGCTTTCGCTTCGTCGCACTGATGAATATATGGGTATTGTTCGACTTCGTGCCCGCAAGCGTATTTAACTCGTGGATGCATTCTTTCGCACATGGTGCAGACTCGCGAAACGACTCACGAATTAGTAGGGACACAGAGACAAGCATAGACGGGCTCGAGTCATACGTGACTATACTTAGGACTGCAAGGTACTGCCGCAGATCGCGAACAGATTCACCGTGGTTGATGTAGATATTGGAGGTGTCAGATGAGTTGTGATGTTGCGAAAAAGGCACAGGCGAGCGTGTGGAAACGACATTGCACTTAGACCTACTTTTATAAGAAAGTCCCATGCAAGACTTGCGCGATTGGCGTAGGCAACAGTAGACTAAGGCTGGCTAGTACCAACACTACAGTCCTTTGATGCACGGCTCGGAGGCAAGAGACTGCCGCACCATGTGGAAGATAGGCGTGTCGACAGTGCAGCCTGAAGTGTTGAAGAGCGGACAACGATATGAGTGGTTGGCCGACACACATGACAATGAAAGACGCGCTCGCAGAAGCCAAAAATCCGATGCACGAATCAATGGCAACCCTCTATTGCCGGCGCGGTGAAAATCGATGACTAGTAGGTTGAAAATGCCGATATGCGTTCAGCGAGCGTGCCCAGCCAGCCGACCACTATGCTAGTTGACTCTGTGATCTTTTGGCCACTCCTCTCCAATTGGCCGTTGGCCATACTATGAATGCCATTACAAACTCAGCTCATGTAACTTATATGATACATGTCCCATGTTCAACTAACTGCAAGCGTTGGCTAATTTTAGGTAAGTGTGGAGTAGGCGGCAAAGGAGGGGCGTGATTGGCTCAGGTTTAATCCCTTGAAGCGTCACTAATGCAGCTCGAGAAGTTCTGCAGACCTGCATAAATCAAGCAGCTGCCTAATGTTCAAGTGATCCGAACTTTCAACCGGGAAGCTTGTCCACGCCCTGGAGCAGCACACACCTGCCTACCAGTATTGTTTGAGTTTACCTCGGTGCCCTTCGTCTGCTCGTGCAGCAGCTCGACCGGTGTGATATACTTCGTTCCGACTTCAGCGTCTTCATCTTTAAAGCAGATTCGTACCTTACGGTTGTAATGCAAAGCAAATAAGACCATGCCACGAAAATTTATCTAACAGGGTGATGGTTGCTTTCGCGCGTGTGACGCGCACCGCGGGGCAGGGTAAATCCGGTTGCGGCCCCGCCTATTGGGCATCAACTGCTCTATACTCTTTACTTCTCAACCCCCGTTGTTCGCAGTATCTTGCGCTTTGAAGACTACCATCTATCACTTACAGCACTCCTTTTCAGCACAAGTCATCGAACAAGTCATCGAGGTAGAAAACAACTGATCTGTCGCATTCTTCTCTTAACAATAGGTTGACAGGTTTCTGCGCGAACAACAATATCCCTCCGAGTCTAATCTCCCGAAGCCCTGCTTCAAGCCACCTACTATCTGTTGACCATGGCAGTAAGAAGGCTCTACACCCTATTCTTCACTCGAAGTATCCTTTACTAACTCATGTGTTGGTCTAGACGGGCGACCGAGCTCTTGTTGGAGAAGAGGAGCACGACATTCAGAGCCACTTCTTCCCCCCAGATACCACGAAAGACAGGACGATACACTTCAAAGGCGTATACATAAGGATCGTCAATAAGGAGACGGGCGATGTGACAACGTTTATCGACAACAAGACCCCTTCGACGGTATACGCGTCATATAAGATTCCAGCAGGATATACTTGTTACATCAGAGGTGCAAGTGCCTATTTTGATGCAGCCTAGGAGGATAATGCGAGCTGTGAACCGAAGATGTCGTTGAGTCGATATCCATCTTCATGACTACACCATATAGTAAACGAGACGTCTTGTTTGTCATCTTGAGGAAACAAACTAGGCCAGCACCCTGTCGTCTTTAGTCCTTGGCTTCTTTCCCATTTCCACAAACGGCCATTCTGAACGAATGTTCTGAATGGCTCTGGCATTCTCGATATGTGGTCAGCTGGTCCATTCGTGTATATATGCTTCATTTCTGTTGGTGCATTGTTAGCCATGCCTCAAAGAGGAAGAAGTGTCCACACCTCTCATTTCCTCGGATGGTGGTAGGGAATCGGCTGGTGCTGCTTGCTCACTATCGTGTCTCATGTCCTCGGGCGGTGCATCGACGGGTACCACTCGCTCACTTTCATCTTCGAAGCGTTTTCTTTTTCTATGGTGTACTGGCTTCTGTGATAGATTGTCGATTGCTAGCTATTATTAGCCTATTGCTCGTCTGTCACACAATTAGGAGACGTGCCGTTGAGCAAGTTGTTGTATTCAAGAGATTTCTGTAGAGATTCTTCATCTTTCCTGAGTGCGTGCAACGTTTCTCGTATCGTTTGTGGCCACGGCTGGACCAACTCAGGTTCGATGTCGTCAAGGAGACAGGTGAACACATCCGAGGCCATCGTGCCTCCAGCCCAAAGAGAAGGCGCAAAAGCCATTGCCCATGAGATCACGCCATCAGGACTCAAGCCTCGAAGCTGCTCACACCTCTTACGAGTGGATGCTTTCCTGAACTTCAAGTCCTCGGAATCGAAAATTGAATCCTTTGGGCCTTCAAATATTGTGACAATGTTTCTTCTGAATACTGGCGCGTGTTTCAATCGACCATTCGCGAAAAGATCGCCTCTCAAGGTCTGTGCGCGTAGCCTGTGTGCTTCGCTTTCTTTCCAAGCTCGTTCAGCCCTCGAATCCATCAACACTTGGATTTCATTCTCAATCTTCTTCGCCGCTTTCGAAAAGCTCATGCTCAAGTCGCTTAGAATATCCCACTGGCCATCGGTTGGGTAGATTTTAGAGAATTTCGATGGTAATTCCTCGGCCTTAACGAGCAGGCCCTTGAGTTGTGAGATGACGGAAGTTGCTGACATGGTGA